CTGCCAGTGAAAGTACCGTCAAAATCGGTCCAGCCGTTTCGGAGATTACCCGAAACAAACAGACACACAGACAAAAATTTTAAAAATTATGTTTTTGTTATTAAGTATCGTATATACTTTCATATGCATTTAGAAAAAAAGCTGTTATGTTAACATTACAAACAGACACTTCAATTTTATTTATTTGTATAGATATGTGAAAACTAGACTTGCAACGAATAGTATATTCGGCTACACGCCGAATAGCCGTATATTCAATATAAATAGGCATATTCAGCCGGGAAGGAAGTAGTATTCATTCTTCAGAGCGTCTATTCTCTAATGCTGGAATTGTCTACGACAAGAAAAGTAGTAAACTACTGCCTGCATATGAAGAAAAATTAGTCTTAATGCACCACTATTTCCCACTTTAATAACGATAATTCGAGTGCATAGACATTTATCTGATAGTTCCTTTTTAATTTTTATAATATGGAACTTGATTATGTAGCTATGACTACTTTAATGAATGAAGGACCGGGGAAGGACCACGCTCTCACAGAATACCAACGTAAAATAGCAGCTTAGTGCTGCTGTGTTTCGTATGTTGAGTGTAGAGAACCGGAGACCCTTTTTACTGGAAAAGAAGCATTCTATCTTAGTCCTCACGGTCGACAACACATCTGCATTATATTTCACAAAAGAAGATAGATGTAGATGTCTATGGGCCACAGTATCCACTTACCATCAGGTGGACTTTGTGCTCGTTTGTCACCCTCATTCTATAAAAAATAATTTAAAATTAAAAATTTTGTACAGCCGACTTCAATATAAGTTATTTAAGAATAACTCAAAAACCATTGGTCTGACCTTGATCAAATTCATATGGGACTACACGAGAAGTATCAGCTTTCATATAAAAAAATAATCATCGAAATCGGTTCCCCTAGTACGAAGTTATGAGGTAACACACATATAAAAAAAAACATACACTGGAATTGAGTACCGTCTCCTTTTTGGAAGTCGGCAGAAAAAGGAGAAGGAACATTAAACTTCCCTTCTTAGTAACGGACGAGAATCTCAAGCCTGTGCAGTGAATGTTAGTGTAACCTAGGGTACCTTATTTTATGGGGTTTTCCTCTATTTTACACTTACAATTTGCTCTTGTCCCTTAATTTCAAATGTTTAATAGAGGACAAGTAAATACCGCACGTATTTGTCTTTCCCTGTCCTAGTTGAGGTCAAGTTTAAAAATTACGTTGAGGTGAAGCGCGATGTTAGAGACACAAATTACGTTAAATTGCGTATTAACCTTTTTTTAATAAATAAATATCGCTACTGATACCATAATAGTATTTTATTGCAAATAATATGATATCCTCCATTTTTATCCTATCTCCTATTATTTAATCTTATCAAATCCTCTAAAACATAAAACGGGAGCTGGCAACCCTAGTGCAATTTGACCCAGAGTATCGATGAACGACCGCTAATCGTGGGATATCTAGTTACAGCATTGTTGATGCTGTCTCGGATTAAATTACCGAGTACAAGTTGAATATCGATTTTTGTAATGACTATAATCACAGCTAAAATGCGGGCCGTGTTGTGTTCATTTTAACATGCAAAGATGCTCCAACCGATATTTTATATTTATACTTAGTTTCTCTAAATTAATAAATAAACAAGTGAATTTAAAAAAAAGTGTGTGTGTGTAAGTACATAAGTATGTACGCACGTAGGAAGTTATACTTATTTAACGTAACAAAACAAAAAAACTTGAGAGACAATTACTGAAGTTGTCGCTTTTAGATGTCAGTATGCGCGCGTATCGTAACAACTTCATGATATCGTTTTTAGGTGTTGGTGTGCGCGCGCATCGTAAAAAAATCACTCTCATCATTTTCCCCAAACGCCCGAAAAGAAGTATTTTTTTTAAATATACCACTTTTCTTATATCCTTACACTGTCATCGGATTCTGAGCTATATTCAAAATTTCAAGTCACCAGCTCAAAGGGAAGTTAGTTTCAAATCTATTACTAAATTCGACACAAAAGACGCACAAGAAAGAGAGTTAATAATTATTTAAAATTAAAAATTTTGTACAGCCGACTTCAAAATAAGTTATTAAGAATAACTCAAATAACTCAAAAACCATTGATCTGACCTTGATCAAATTCATATGGGACCACACGAGAAGTATCAGTTTTGATATAAAAAAAGAATCATCGAAATCGGTCCACCCAGTACTACGAGCACTTAACCATATGTTTAAGTGCTAGTAGACCCAGTAATAAGTTATGAGGTAACACACAAAAAAAAAACATACGCGTCGAATTGAGTACCGTCTCCTTTTTGGTAGTAGGCAGAAAACGTCGTAAAATAAGGTGTGTTAGCACAATCGATGTAATATTTGCGAAAATTATTCAAAATGGTTCTTGATATCAAAGACTATTTTGAATAATATATATATATATATATATATATATATATATATATATATATATATTATATATATTAATAATAATATAATTATGTTTGAGAGTTAGAATTAGAAATTATACTTTCATTTTAGAAAACGAATTCTTAATTTGCATGCAAATAATTTAAATGGAATGACGACTGGTAAGATATGCAGTATGTTGATGAGTGCAGTTGCCTCAGCACCATGCTCTGTGGCATTCCTTAGGGGAGAGACCTATGTTTAGCAGTGGACTTGTGAAAGGCTGTAATATATAATGATAATTTAAATTATTGCATGAAGAAATTAGGTACGTATATAAATACTTATTTTCTAAAATTAATGTGTATTTAAATTTAATTTCATCAAAAACTGAAATCTGAGGACATAATTTTATAACATTAAATTCTCTTTGATGACCAACGACAAATTGGATATTTTCGTTAATATATGCGCGCGCAATTCTGTTACGTACTCAAAGGAGAATGCCAGATCGTGCCCCACCTTGTACAAAAAAGTTAAAAATATGAAAATAATCTTATGAATTTTGAAGGTTTTTGTGATAAATGGTTATTTTGTACAACTTGCGGTAAAATATTATTTAAAAAAGGAACTCAACGATTAATATTTACATTTCCAGTCTTTTCTAATAACATATGCGTTTCTTTGTACGAATAAGTACATACGTATGCATAAAGTATCAACCCATACATATTTCTATTAAAATATATTATGTCTTTGTAATACAAAAATGTTACTTATCAATTTTATTTTCAATTATTATTATAAGTCGATAATAATCATGAATAGCATTAGATAATTACTGAATGACAATCATTGATTTTCGTGATTTTGTGAAATGATACACACACGTCATTGTGTCAATATCGTAAGTACATATGTCAAATTAATATCGAATATTTTCACAGATTGACTAATTTGTGCTTGTGAAATATATTATGAATATCACATTTTTGCTTGTGCTGATTCCCGCTTTCTTTACCGTTGCATTTTTTCCAGATTTTGCTGACGACTTATGCTTTTATTAATGTACGGACTCGAACACGCCTACTTATTGACCTACTACTAATTACTACAGATATTCTGATAATTGCATCCACGATGTTGAGGTGCACTAATTGTCATATTTGCGTCGATAGGATGCAGGGGCATTTTGTGTCCTCATTTCTTTGCAACAGATATATTAAGTTTTATAGCTTCTTTATATGGTTTTTTAATTTATGTCCTGCCGTTGTCGTAAAATTAGTTACTAATACAGATTATTATGAATAAGGTGTAAATATTTATTTATATGTGTAAGTGTAAAAGTACTTCTTAACCACAGCTTGCATATTATACAGACGAATTTTAAGAACCATTAACAATAATGCTCCTTTCACTTTAATATTTTTAGAGTCGGCTACTTAGGTGCGGTTTCGTAATATTACAGGAAATACCAGACTTATAGTCGCTTAACGTGTAGTAGCGGTTTAAAAATATACACTACGTCGTATTGCTGTATGGGGCAAACAATCCATGAGACAGCTTAGGCTCCAACTTAGGCGTTCACTTTCTAACAACTTATTTTCTTTCTGATAATGTTCTTTATAGTTAAGTGTACTGTTACTTGGCCTAAACTCGTGTATTTCTTCTGACACGCTCTTGTTATATAAAGTATTATTTCAGCCAAAACTTGTAAATGAAGGCCATTTTTGTTATAATTATATTATGTTTGTAAATTAGCTGTAAGTTTTTTTACGTGGTAGAGCCACGCTTCAGCTATATCAGTAGCACGAATGGGTCGGCTCGACCGGTGACAGAGACCGGAAGGACCCGGAGACCCTTTTTACTAGAAAAGAGGCATTCCATTTTAGTCCTCACGGGTGACAAGGCATCTGCATTTTGATTCGCAAACGAGGATAGATGTAGATGTCTATGGGTCACAGCAACCACTTGCAATCAGGTGGACTGTGTGCTCGTTTGTCTATAAAAAAAAAACAAATATAAATAAAACAGGCAGCAGCGTCTTCCTAATAAAAACTAGAAAGTTAAAAAATACTGTCAAGCATAGCAATTATGGCAAATATCCAGGGAAATATATATGGAAGCCTATGTTCAGCTTGTGGATTTTGACATGCTCTAATGAATCGCTCGCGGTTTCGATCGCATGAAATATTTGTAAATTACAAACTGACCGTGCAATGGCGGTGTAAGAATATCCACTACCCCATATAGTTTTGTGGGTGTCGTAAGAGGCGACAGAGTTAAAAAAAACCAGAAGATGGACAATAGCGTCGTCCTTATAACAATAAACAAAATTATAAAACTGCGAACGCCCACCCGCTTGCCAAGCGTGGCAACTGTGGCAAATCACACCTGAGGCAATCATTTGTGGAGGCTCATGTTCAGCAGTTGACTTTTGATAGGCTATAATGGTCACGGTAGTCACTATCCACATGTATAATATAAAATTAGAAAACCGTTTATGGATTTGGACAAAGAAACTATGTCGGATTTATGTAAAATAACGATTCAGTTAATATCATTTTGTACACAATTTCAATATCCAGCCAATTCTAAAGCCGAAGGATAATGTGAACGGACCATTCCACATCGATCTCTGTCTATGTTCAGGGTTTTCCTCTTTGAAGCAATGTCTTTTTCCAAAACGATTCTCTTCTCCATTAAGTCTTGTCTCACTTTCTCGGCTTTCTTCAACTGTCCGAGAAGAGACGACACAGTTTCGTGTATTTTCTTCACTTCTTCTATCAAACCAAGATGGGGCAGGTCTCTAACATTTTCACCGTGGGGTCTAGATGTATTTCGATTGTCAAGCCGTGTTTGTGCCAGTTTCATTGCCGCGTCCATCTTTTTAATAGAGTCCTTGAGATCATCAATCAATGATTCCATGTCTGCAATTCTCTGTAAAGTATGTCTAAGAGTTTCTTCTAATTTAGTGCACAGTTCTTGAGTTATAGCTACAGTTTCTGCTATGGCCATATCAGTTCGGTCTGCTTGATTTCTTAGCTTTCTACCTCCATTAACTAAAATTGCATTTAAACTGCCTCGTAAATCTGCAGATTTCTGACGTGCTGCTTCGCAATTCTGCACATTCTCTCTGCAGAAGTATTCCCAATACTCTACAGGCGCAGTATAATCTCCGAATCTTGTTGCACCCGGTCTAAACATAATAGTGTTAGTTTTTGTATTAAGACCTATGTTGGTGGTCTCTGTTTCATATGCCGTTGTTTTATCGCACCAATCATATTCAATCCTATGTTTTGCAGCTTTGTTTATAGCCATTTGTTCTTCAATTTTGTCTAGAGTGTTTTTAAGAGTTGCTCTTACCTCGCTTACAAGTTTCATCTCTTTAATCAGCTCCTGTTCAGCTAAATCTGAAACTAGATCCGGTTCAGAGCGGTTTGAGCGTAGATCCAAACATTCCTTCGAGATTGATTCCGGAAGCATAAGAACTCTTGAAGCGCCTTTGAGACGCTGTCTTTCGATTTCTAACAACTCAACTTCCTCCGTAATTGCTTTGCAAGCTCTCTCCACTTCTACTTTCCATCTATATATGTCCCTTGCTTTCTGTTTGAGTCTCTCGTTGTTGTCATTTTGCTGTTTATCTACGTTACCGAATGCTTGCATCATAGATGTTTTGGCATTATAATCAATTATGTTTGATTCAGTTATAACGCTAGAATCAAGTACTTCTTCATTATGTCTCCTCCATTCACTGAGAGAATACCGACTAACAGAATATTTACTAACCCTGGGTCGAGTACCGGTCATATTGCCGAGTGGGGTCCAGTCGACTTTACCGTCTGCCGCTGGCTGCAATTGTGGTAAATGTTCCTCCCTAAGTGTCGAATTAACCATGGTTGGATCTAAGTCCTGTAACTCAGGAATGGTTATTTTTGCAGCGGTTGTAGTGTTCGCTTTAGCATTTTCAGCCAATTGAATCTCTTCTTTTACTTGTTCTGGTGTTTTTTCAGCTTTTTTAAACGCGCCTATGTCAGTGCACACTTGGGGGCATTTATTTTTTTCTGGAAACGTTGTTAGGGTAGTCATTATTTCGAGAGAAAATATAAATAACGTAAAATGAAAGAAAATATAAATTATCGGCCAAAAAATTTAACTCAATTTCAAACGTCAAATGTTTATTTTTTTTTAACACACTGTCCAGAAAAGTAACAACTAAATGTAGTGATATACTTTTTGGTAACTGCATATTTCAATGGCGCTTAATATGCTTTAAAAAATCTAAACATATTAATAAAATTAAAATATCTGTCTGTAATATCGAAATAACTGCCTTTTATTGGACTGAAGGGGTTATTTACATGACTAACCATCCTTATTTAATGTGTGTTTGTAATTTTTGGTTGTGTCTGTCTGTCTGTCTGTATATCTGTCTCTGTCGGTCTGTTTGTCCGGGCTATTATTGGGAATGGTCAAACTGATTGTGGCGGATTGGGATTATTTTACTAGATATAGTGGACTGTATTGAGAATCTAAATCCCCTGAAACGTTCAGTTACCGCAGTCACAAAATCACACCAAAAACAGCAATAAACTACTCACGGTCTTACTAGCCAGCCTCCCAAGATCAGCAAACGTTGACAGCTCCTGGTAGCTTCTTCTACACGGTAGAATACACTAGCAATTAGATTGTACACGGTACACTCTGGAGTAGTCCCTTTTTAAAGTTTTTGGAGAGATGTTCACATCACGAACACAAAGAGAATGTGTATGGCTTGTCTCGCCTCCTACCCTCCTCTTCTCTTTTTTTTAACTTCACAGATTATTACAACGCATATTACGTCGCAATGTTGCCACTAGGTGTGACCGGCGCTCCGATCGTAGCAGATCATTGTGCCTCGGTATAAATTTTGTGAGTTGCGGTTTATTACTGAACACACCCCCCACCGAAACCATCTTGATGGTTTCTCCTAACTATATGAAAAAGATATTAGAGAAAATATTATAACTTAAGCTACGGAACATGCAAAATAACGCTGAGACACAGAATGTCCTCAACGAGAAAAAAAAAATATTAATACACGTAAAAACTAATTTGAATAAGGTAGAGGACTCAGTTTATTAACTGGTCTCTGTAGAGTACTCTTTTGAGTGCGAAGCGTAACACAACGAACAATCCCATCTGGACCGGGGTGAAGAGCCTCAATTCTACCCAAAGGCCAATTGCACGGCGGTACATTATTAGTTTTTATGATTACGAGATCACCTATTTTTATATTAGATCTATCCGAATGCCACTTTGCTTTCTGTTGCAGCGTATTTAGATATTCGTGACTCCATCTACGCCAAAACATTTGTGAACATTTTTGAATATATTGCCAACGTGATAATCGATTTATTGTTATATCCTCTACATTATACTCAGGTACTGCTGTTAACCCTTTTCCAATTAGAAAGTGTCCCGCAGTCAAAACGTTGAACTCATCAGGATTATCACTAGCTGGTAACGGACAAAGCGGCCGCGAGTTGAGAATCGCTTCTACTTTACAAAACACTGTTGTGAGTTCCTCGAACGTCAAACTTTTTTCTCCTACGGCTCGCGTTAATAGATACTTGGCGGATTTAATTCCAGCTTCCCAGAGCCCACCCATATGTGGTGCACCAGGGGGATTAAATCTCCATATAATTTGTCGTTTTGAGCAACCCTCTAATATATTGTTTTTTTGTTCGAGCATAAATCTTTGTACTTCGGTTAAATGCTTACTAGCAGCTATGAAATTAGTTCCGCAATCCGAATAAAGGAAGGAGCACACACCGCGTCGCGCTACAAATCTGTCTAAACACGCGAGGAAACAGTCCGATGACAACGACGATAAGACTTCAAGGTGTACAGCTTTTGTCGAATAACAAATAAATAATGCTAAATATGACCGTTCAACCCTAGCATTTCGTCGTAAACTTTCTTTTGTAAAGAACGGACCACCGAGGTCCACCCCTACATGCTCAAAAACATTACAAGGTATCAATCGGGCTGCTGGCAAAGGTGCCATCTCAGGCTGTAAGAGCACTGGGTTGTGTTTAAAACAAATTTTGCATTTGGACAAAACTGACCGAATAATGCGACGGGATGCTAAAATCCAAAAATTTTGATTAATAATGTTTTGTAAGGTGCGTGGACCTACGTGTAAATATTTTTTATGTAAATATTCAATAAGTAACAAGGTAAATCTACTATTTTTAGGTAATAAACGAGGATGCTTCGCGTTATAAGGTAACGCTGAATAATTTATTCGACCCCCCACCCTGAGGTATCCGCGTTCGTCAATAAATGGAGATAATTTTCTCAACGACGGAACGTACTTTGTGCCCTTTGACAATCTATTTATTTCATTTGCGAGGTATGCACTTTGTACTAATTTAATTAAAACATCTTGGGCAGTATTTAATTCGTTAGTCGTCAGTATTGATTGCTTCGAGTGACCGGATTTGAGTCGGAACCATCTCAATATTCGAGCAAACGTACGTTGCAGTTTATAATAAGAAGAGAAATTGGAAAAGATTCGGTCACAGAACTCTAACTTAGTCTCCTCTATCGAATTATTTTCATTTGTGATTAAATTGAAGGAGCCTAATGTATGATTTGATTTCATTTCGGGTGTATTACTTTCATGTTGGTTGATAAATGTTCTCACTGGCCACTGCGAATAGTCGTCGTACAACCAAGATGGGCCCTTCAACCACTGCTCACTGCACTCCACGAGCTGTGACGGAGACGCTCCGCGCGAGCATATGTCTGCCATATTGCACTCACTACTCACGTGACGCCAACAGTGTGGAGGTAACACTTCACATACCTGAGTAACACGGTTACTAACAAACGGCTTTAATTTGTAAGCTTCTGTCTGAAGCCACGTCAACACGATAGTCGAATCGGTTAACGCAGTAATACGAGTAATTTTTACACGAGTTAAAATGTCACGGACATATCTCATAGTTAATGGTTTGACGGGGGCTACTTTAGATTTTGCTGTCACCAGGCGTACTTTAGTTTGACCTCTATCGTTACGACTGATCACATACACACAACTAGCATAACCGCGAGAGCTTGCATCGCAAAAGGCGACCAATTCACATTCGGTCTGTTCTGGTAGCAGCATATGTCTATCTATCTTGATTGCCGTTAGTCGCGGGAGATCATCAACGTAATTAAGCCAGCGCTTAGTTACGTCAGTTGGCAGCTGCTCATCCCATCCTATGCCCAGCTTCCATAAATCTTGCATTATCTCTTTCGCGATGAAAATGCACGGTGAAATAAAACCCACGGGGTCGTAAATAGAAGCTAATAATTTTAAAACAGAACGTTTAGTTGTTACTTTATCAGTCTTATCTACTGTGAAATAAAAACAGTCAGTCAAAGGGAACCATTTCAGACCTAGCACTTTGACTGAATATTCGTTACAATCTTTCATAAATGTAACAGGACACTCTCGGTTTTCTAACGGAACGCGTTGTAAAACTTTTGCACTATTACTCGCCCACCTTTTGAGTATAAAGCCACCGGAATTAAACATCTCTAAAAGTTCATCTTGTAACCGAGATATCTGTGACAATGAACTACAAGAATATAGAATGTCATCCATGTACACGCCCTCGCGCACAACCTTTGCAGCGAGTGGGAAACGTTCTTCCTCGTCATAGGCTAACTGTAAGAGGGTGCGGATAGCTAAGAACGGTGAGCAACTTAAGCCGTAAGTGACAGTTTTTAATTCATAAACGTCAATGGCATCGTTAGGCGAATGACGATACAAAATATGTTGATAACATCTATCTGACTGATTCAGTTTAATTGCCCGATACATTTTGCATACGTCACAAATCAAACAATATTCAAACAACCTAAAATTCAATATTATAGCCCCAATATCTCGATACAGATTAGGCCCGGTCAATAGAATATCATTAAGCGAAACGTTCGTGGACGTTTTAGCCGAGGCATCGAATACCACACGCAACGGAGTAGTGGAACTACTGGGCTTAAGTATACTGTGATGAGGTATCACATATTTGCTTGGGGTGTCCCCCGAATAAAGCTCCATGTGCCCTAGATTTTCATATTCGCACATGAACTCTGAATAGGCTTGTCGTAATACAGGTGAACGATTCAACTTGCGCTCGGTGAACAAAAGTCGCCGCTCGGCTGCCGCTCGTGACGCGCCCAACGGAGGCGGGTCTGGTATGAATGGTAACGGCACTGAATAGGTACCATCCTCAGTACGACTATAACGAGCCACGAAAATGTCTTCCGCTAATTGTTCCAAAGGATTAATCGAGGGTTTGCTTGGCAATTCTTCGATTTCCCAAAACTTACGCAACGTTTGATCTAAAGACTCTTGTTCATCAAATGAGACTGATAAATTATAATTTTTTAAATTGTCCTTATCATTGCTATAAAGTTTACCACTTACAACAAACCCGAAAGCGGTATCGATCACGCTTGGTATATCCGATGAAATAATATAAGGTTTATCCTTAATTAGTTCCGAAACTATATCATTGCCCAATAGTATATCGATACGCGAACGCTTATAAAATAATGGATCAGCTAAATTAAAATTCTTATATTTATTAATAACGTCCGAGTGGAATCGAACGTTAGGCATATCAGCAGATACCTTAGTCACTACGACCATGTTCAGTGTAAAACTAGGTAGGTCAGTGTGTAGGGACCTTAATGTGCATGTAATCATGCCGTGATTTTTTACAGCCTCTCCACCGAGACCATAAATATTAAACGAACACTTCTTTCGAGGTAAGCCCAAACGTTGAGCACACTCAGTTGTAATAAATGAGCTCTGAGCTCCAGAGTCAATAACTGCACGGCAGTATTGAAGCTGGCCGCTACTATCAATTACTAACACGCGCGCCGTTCCCAATACAACACCGTAACCCGAGTGAGCGTTATTGGAATGAAGCGTATCTATCGTATAACGCTCTGAGTCACTCATAGCCTGAGACGAGACGAGTGCTTGTTGCACTTGCGAGTCAGAGCACAATGGACGGGTGGATGTTGGCACGAGCGTGTCGCTCACT